TGTGTGGATTAACCAGCAGATTTGTCCCCGTGTGATAACATCCTATGAGGAGTTGCAAGTTACATATGTACCACAGGTCTCCAGGCAAGAGGGGAAGAGTTTCAGAATTCAGCATTATGAACCAAGGAGGTCCTCCAGGTGAGCAAAAATGTCTCAGGAGACTGCAATATTTGTTGCTGTAATATTCAGGGGTTTTCCTGTCGTCTTCAAGGCTTTTGTTGTTGTTGTTAACTGCCCTCAAGTCAATCTTGACCCATGGTGACCCTGTGGATGAGACATCTTCAAGACCCCCTGCCTTCACTACTCTGCTTAGTTCCTGTACATTCATATCTGTGACCTCCTTAATAGAGTCCATCCATCCATCTAGCATGCAGCCTTCCTCTTTCCGCTTCCCTCCACCTTTCCTAGCATAATTACTTTTTCCAATGAGTCCTTCCTTCTCATGATGCGTCTGAAGTAGACAGCCCCAATTTTGTCATCTTGGCTTCCAGGGAGATTTCCGGCTTGATCTGTTCAAAGACCCATTTGTTTGTCTTTTTGGCTGTTCATGGGATCCTCAGCACTCTTCTCCAGTACCAAATCTCAAATGAATTGATTTTCTTCCTATCTTCTTTCTTAACTGTTCAGTTCTCACATCCATACATGGTAATAGGCTATCCGAGGAATATTACTGTTGAAATGTTGGACCATTTTCTGGCAGTGCCTGATGCCAGCTGCAATATTTTATTCTCACACAATAGCAACAAAAGTCTCAGCTTCTCCTCTTTGCTCTCTATCTCCATCTCTGGCTGCATGTACACTGTAGAATTAATGCAGTTTGACACCACTAGCTGCCATGGCTCAGTTCTATGGAATCCTGGGATTTGTAGTTTTGTGAGATATTCAGCCTTCTCTGTCTGACAGTTCTGGAGATACAACAAACAACAAATCCCCAGATTCCAAAGGATGGAGCCATAACAGTTAAAGCAGTGTTAAACTGCATTAATTCTGCAGTGTGGTAGCAGCCTCTTTATCACACACACACACATACACAAGCAAAAAACAAAAAACAAAAAACAAACCAAACCATTATAGTTCTACTGTATTCTACTCTTTCACTAAGATTTTTTTTTTAAAAAAATCAAAAACAAATTTTGCCCTTCTGATAGGGTTGCCATAATTCTCTACCACAAAACTGGGACAAAATGTACGACAAAATGTGGGGAGAAAATTTAGACCAAAATGTAGGACATTTAAGAAAAATGGAGGACAAGGACCAATTAAAAGCAAAAAACATTAATAATTTTAAAAAACCCACCATGAATATAAATGCAGCCCCAGCCTAGGCCCCAACCTCCCCCCCCACACACACAGTGAGGCTTCCCAGGGCCTGGGCCTTCCTGCCACCCGCCACATGTTCCAAAAGCATTTTGGCAGCGGCGGCAGCCCTAGCCCAGCCTCCTCCCCCCCATGAGGCCCACCGGAGTCCTGGGCCTCCCTGCCTCCGCCATTCTCTCTCTGCTGCTGCAGAAAAGCTTCAGTCCTCCTCCTCTGTGCCTGGCCAAACAGAGGAGCTGGAAGCCTGCCCCCTGCAGCCTCTCCCGAAAACATGGCTGCAGCCCCTTGGGAAGGAGAGACTGGGGGAGAGGCAAGGTCGGAAGGATCACTCCTAGGGAACCGGGACATGCTCCTAAAACCAGGCTGGGACATTGTAAGAGCTTGAAAAACTGATTGTCCCGGGAAAAACCGGGATATGGCAACCCTACCTTCTGACAATAGGACCAGCTCAGCAAAACCATGCCTTGATTGAAAAAACAAAATAAAAT